GAACCTGTTGTTACGCTGACGGCACTCGGCATTAAAGACTAGTCAGTTTACTATGTCGGAGTGGGGGAATCCACGTCTAACTGAGGCGACCGCCTCCGTGGTCTTTGTGGTAGAGCGTCCGCCCGGAGAGCGGAAGGTCCAGGGTTCGATCCCGGGCCGCGTCATACAAAAAGACGTTAAAAGATTGTACTTGTTGTTACCCTGTCTGGCGCTCGGCATTAAGGGGCTAAAACAAGGGACTGGTCGGCTCGGAGTCAGTATACTGTGTCTGAGTGGGGTATTCATGTTAAACTGCGGCATGGTATCTCAGTGAGCTAGCACTATAAATCGGCATCAGTCCGGACTAGTACAAGCAGCCACACACACACATACACGTGCATGCACGTCGCTATATAAGTGCAATAATCTTGGACGCGACGTTAAACCCAATTTCACCTCACCTCACCTCTAACTGAGGCATGGTATCCCAGTCGACCAGCATTTAAAAGTGCCATATGTTCGCTATATAAGAGCAGTAATCTTGATCAAAATGCGTTAAACTCTATTTCACCGTCTCACCGAAGTAATAAACCTCGAACACTTTTAACTGAAACACTGATCATATGCATTGAACCGGCGCTAAACCTAATACATTCACTCCGTGTATCGTACACAATGAAAGACGGACATTCGTCATCTGCAGCATAATAATTACATAGTCAACGCACTCGTTAATGGATAGGCCCATTGTCCCCATTTCGAGACAATCGATAACACAAACCTCTAACTTGTATAAAGGTCTATGGAAGTTGTTTTGTTGTGGGTTAGATACAATTCAATGATGCTCAGAACCCTCATCATTTTTTAATCAGTCTTCCCTGGATGGCTGAGCACATCTCAATGTGAACTGTGTTCAACAGAACAGCTTCTTAAGTAACAACCTATGTGTACAAATTTAACTTGTCCATCAACATTTATTAGTGAGTCTATATAGACGAGACGCTGGTAGGTCTAAATCAATTTCTAATTGACAATTACAATTTGAAGAAAACAAATACCGTTGTTTAAATATACTTTTCAAAAGAAGTTTAAGAAAAGCCGATACCCCCACGGGGCTGTCATGGATGGTGGGTATTGCAACACACAAATTGTATTATTTGTTTGTTTGTTGTTTGACGCCGCACTCCAGCTATATGTTGTCTGTAAATAATCGAGTCTGAACCAGACAATCCAGTGACTGACATTATGAGCATCGATCCAAGCAATTGGGATACTATGGCATGCATCAACCAAGTCAGCGAGCCTGACCACCCTTTGCCGTTAGTCGCCTCTCACAACTAGGGTTGCTGAAGCTGAAGACCAATTTTAACCTCGTGAGTGAGTGAGTGAGTTGGGTTTAACCCCGCTTTTTAACAGTATTCCAGTTATATCACGGCGTGTCAGCTTAATGTGGGAGGAAAGCCCGAAGTGATGCAGGTCTTAGACGTTTACCACTTCGGTAAAACCCACGAACACGGTTATGGTGCTGACAAACCGAGAAACATAATCGGGGCGAACCGGGATTCGAACCCACAATCATAGGTTTCCGGCATGCCCAAGGGACGCAACTCTGCACAGCGAATCGCGGCGCCTAAGAAGACTGGGCCACCCGTGCCCCAATTTTAACCTCGATCTTGACGGGTCGGTTACATGTTAACACAGTGCGTCTCTGGGGCTTGCATTTTTTCTGTAGGGTGAAGGAATTGAGGAGGAGGAGGGGGGGGGGGGGGGGGGGGGGGGGGCTGGGACTGCAGGCGGGGATAACATGACTGGATGACATTTAACTAGAGGGTACATCATTTGAGGGAGCAGCAATTTACATCAACCTGTCACATACATCGACTCATCCGATTTCGACTTACGCGAGGCCACGTTATATACTACTCAAAAGAAGTTAAGGATCACCTGATTCTTTCATATTACAATAGTTAATCTCTCATGCCATGACAGATTTACATTACCAATATGAAAGAATCGGGTGATCCTTAACTTCTTTTGAGTAGTATATATTGTAGCAGTAACACGAGGGGCATATGTGGATATGTGGTTATCTTCCCCCGTTAGGTTTGATACCACGAGCCGGACGCATAAAACCTAACGCGGGACGCGTACAAAAAAAATACCCCCACTGAATCTGATACACAGCATTTGTCTTGCGAAATGTTTCACTCTGTCATTGTAAAAGAATTCAAACAAACTGAAAATTGATAGAAAAAAGATGTTCGAATGAGCTGGGGGTTAACTTGCCACGTGACTTCCATAGAGTCGTAAACAACATGCAGTATTTAGCTTCGTGGCGGGGTACAATGTTGTTACCCGATTAGAAATCCACGTGCAGTCTGTTTTCTTCGTGGTGGTGTATAGGAAATATATTCTCCCGTTCAGAAATGTATTTTATCACGATAACGCAAACCAATCAGATCGCAACATGGAGGTAAGATAAAATAATATATCAAAGCTTCCCTAAATGAAGTTAAATCTTTTTAATTGATATACACGATGCAGGACGAATAAACGAGGCGTCAGTATATATAATATGTACATATCACCCATAAGGCTACGTTTATAAGCAAAATATCCAACAAAATACATTGATTAATTTATTAAAAACATATACATAAATATAACGGTATAATTCGACTGTAGTTGATTCAGCTGATTCAAACAAATACACCATGGCTAGATGGCTAGACGGACGGAGACGCCGTAGATATGTAGACAATGGAATAATATACAGTGTAACTTGGTTATATACAACCCAAGGATGCTATGGATAAAGCAGTTCAGCTTTCTGGAACAACAAAGGGAGAGTGTTTTACGTAATGGGAGGACTTCACGGAATGACACGAACCCACCGTATTAAATCAAGGACACTAGGAGACACTTAACGGTATCATATCTGTACAATTTGGCACAATATTAAAACGATCTAACACTCCTACACTGTTCGTCAATACTTTATGATATGGACACACAGTAAAATCATCTTGAAGCAGTATTCAATGTTTGGTAGGGTGCACAGTGGACTAGGAGATTTGTTAGTTGACAAAGTATTATTTTTAAATTTAAATTAATAAACATAAGAGTCAATTAGCATTCGATATTTTAACGGACAATTAGCCTGATGAGTGAGTGAGTTTATGTATTGTAGCCGCTTTGAAGAGCATAATATTTATATCACGGCTTGACTGCGCGAAGTCCCAAAGTACTGCAAGTGTAGACGTTAACCACTTTGCTGAATGCAACGTGCACGGGTAACAATGCAGCTTCACAATTAATTCATGAAAAAAACAGCCACTTGACTTTAAATAAAAACACATAGCATATAATTTAATCTGTCAATATTTGCATGTTTGTAATGTCAAGCTTTATATCAAATCGAATGTTGTTTCTAAAACATCAGTGAATGAATTTTTAATTAATGTTTTACATTTTTTATTTAGGCGTAAATTAGGAGATAATCATACCACCTTTTCAATGTAGAGCTAGGTTACCTGTAGGTCTTATCGCGTTACATTAAATTTGGAACCGAAAGCACAGCGTGAGGTTTCAAAATAGGAGATAAACATACTGTGTTTTCAATGGAGAGCTAGGTTACCTGTAGGTCTTACCGCGCTACATTGAATTTGTAACCGAAAGCGCAGCGTGAGGTTTCAAAATAGGAGATAAACATACTGTGTTTTCAATGGAGAGCTAGGTTACCTGTAGGTCTTACCGCGCTACATTGAATTTGGAACCGAAAGCACAGCGTGAGGTTTCAAATGTTAAATTTAGCTTGGTGGGTACAAAACATACAAAAAACAATGATTGTAAAAGAAGTACTATTATAAAATCATTAGCTTCCGCAGTGTTGCGACTGTCAAATCTGCTGTTTTCCAAATGGGTTATATATGTTGGCTTGCTTTTTCTCACAGTACGTGTTTTGGTACACTTAGATACTCAACCAATCATCAACGGTTCTTTAATTTGAGAAGTTGTCTTCAGATAATGATGAAAACTTAACAACTTTAAGTGAGTGAGTGAGTGAGTATGGTTTTACGCCGCTTTTAGCAATATTCCAGCAATATCACGGCGGGGGACACCAGAAATGGGCTTCACACATTGTACCCATGTCGGGAATCGAACCCGGGTCTTCGGCGTGACGAGCGAACGCTGAAACCACTAGGCTACCCAACCGCCCCTAACAACTTTAAGACTATTGAACTATTTAAACCAGATCCTATAAAGCTTCCATTAACCTTCGTGTTGCTGGGCGTGGAGTCAACCCACAGATGACATGAATACATTGTCAGTGACGGGGTTAACCTCTTTGGTCACGTGGCCAAGCAGTCCGACCTCTGTTCAGAAGATCCGTGGTTCGAATCCCATCACGGGATATTTAAGTCGCAATATATGCATTCAGTATGCTCATTAAACAAATCTAATCTGCATATGCATGTGAAGTGAAATCACCCGATACCTAAGACTTGTTAATCCGGACGTTATATTATACTGGGAACGTTGCCGTCCGGATTTCTGGCGGGTCACTCTACACATATACACATACCAATAGTGTAACAGTCCTGGGCCCACTTGCACAAAGCGATCTTAGCGCTAAGATGATCGTAACTCCCATACTTTAACATAGGCTTACAATAGTCGTAGCGCTAAGATCGCTTTGTGCAAGTGGCCCCTGGAAGGCAGCAAACCCAACAAACCTTCTAAAACACAATGAATAAAACATCATCTACTCTGCCCAAGAAGTACAGATTATTATAATCATTATCAGACATTATCACAGATTTCTTTGTAGGAAAATACATGTATTATGTACAACATCCGTAGCACGGATTCGTGCCGATGAAAATATATCTGAATAAATGACCCTTCTCGCAACGGCAGTGTTGACAACATCTAGTCATTTGATCAACGTGAATATTTCACGTCAAACAACCTTGTAATGTGAAGATATGGCATCATATAATTATATGTGCGACTAAATTAATCTAGATAACAATTTGTGGAAACAAATTTTGTTTCGCTGTTGTATGAATACAAACGTGCCGACTCATGACGTCTTCGTTCTGTGATTTTAAACATGTCAATATAACTTTCAGATGATAATAACTTTAATAACACATGTAAATAAATTCATAATAATAAATTTAAAAATGTGAATTATAAACCTCAAAACGCAATTAGTCAAAATATTCTTGAACGGTTTATACACTAAAGTCCGATATCACGAGGTCGGAATGTCCACGGATATCGGTTATCACAAGGCCAGAATGTCCACGGATATCGGTTATCACAAGGCCAGAATGTCCACGGATATCGGTTATCACAAGGCCAGAATGTCCACGGATATCGGTTATCACAAGGCCAGAATGTCCACGGATATCGGTTATCACAAGGCCAGAATGTCCACGGATATCGGTTATCACAAGGCCAGAATGTCCACGGATATCGGTTATCACAAGGCCAGAATGTCCACGGATATCGGTTATCACAAGGTCAGAATGTCCACGGATATCGATTATCACAAGGCCAGAATGTCCATGGATATCGGTTATCACAAGGCCAGAATGTCCACGGTTATCGATTATCACTAGGCCAGAATGTCCACGGTTATCGGTTATCACTAGGCTAGAATGTCCCCGGATATCGGTTATCTGGCAGGTTGGAACACGTCTCCAAAATACGAGAACTCTTTGAACTAAAGAGAACGATACGAACATGTGTCAGCCAGCCAAAGAGAACCTATCCTGAGTATATTTTGATATCAAATATTTCAACACGAGTCTATTAAAAACTTAAAACTCTGAGGCTTGTCGAGGAGTTGTTAACTTTTATCAACAAGTGTCAATATGTTTGGTATCAAAAAACACGAGGGTGAGATTCTGTTTATCATCCAACATCCATCCTTTTTCAGCTTGAAAACAGTAATAAGAAGTGTCCTGTGTGTAAGACGTACAGTTGGGTGCATTCGCCTTTCAACAGGGCGCTAACTTTCAGCCGCTTGCAATCGTATCAATCGCTGGCCGAGGTCGCTTCGTTCTCATTCCAATATGGCGGCTGAGTTTGACAGCAGAACAAGGGGGAAATGAGCAAAGGCAGCTAACACCTCGGCATCCTCAGTCTGCTCCACGTCATCAAAGAAAACATAAATTTCATCAGTTCATCGAGCCTCTTCTATAACGTTCTTCATTAGGGCAAGGCAACCAAGCGGTAGTTGCACCGCCATCTTGGAAGAGTGCGCAAGCGCTTCGAACTATTGCAGACCCTTCGATGAGCGATTAATTAGCTTACAAAATACGATTTGAGGCTTATGACGCGCCCTAACCAGCTTCAGTGACAGCGATTACTGATGTCATTTGATTGTAACGTCAAAGTAACCGATGACATCGCAATGGTCTGCAAAGCGATATCTTCTAGCAGATATTGTTTGATCTCATTCAAGCCATATCTCCTGTGGAAGCCAGTTTGGATGATGAAATGTGGTAACTACTATACTTCGATAGTCACTAGAAATCTATCCGTTGGTACTCGTATAAGATTTATTATGTTACATCTATCACGTCAACCTTTCAAATCGCTGCTATAGGTAAAGCACTGAACATTTATTGGGCATATGGACCCTGTGGAGATGCTAACAAGTGGTTGCTTCTGGTTTCTGTCTGTCATATAACAGAAGCTCTCTGATTATGTAAATGGTCTTCACTGATGGCCCTGTGCCAGGATGATGGGTGGACAGCGTGATGTGGCTACCTCATACCCGCTGCATCACGTGCATGACGGCGGGGTTGTTGCAGTTCGCAGGGTGTGCCGCAGGATCAGGGACACCTCTCTACCCAACTCGTCACCTCTCTACCCAACTCGTCACCACTCTACCCAACTCGTCACCACTCTACCCAACTCGTCACCACTCTACCCAACTCGTCACCACTCTGCCCAACTCGTCACCACTCGGACAGTCAGATCAAAGACAACACGGGTGTGACAGATCTATGGTGACATTAGACTGACGGATTCAAAGACACACAGAGGTGGAATGGTCTTGCAACAATTTGTGAGAAGAAGAAACCAACAAAACAACGGCATAAGGCGTGATATGCCTAAAACCGTGCTGCGAACTTTCCCCTTTTGACCCTGCGTACAATTCGGACCACGCCCCTCACCAGGCTTATCATGTCGTTAAAGAATAGCACGCCAAACAAAATGACCAACAGGATCCAAGCAGAGTGACCAATCGCCTGAGAGGACGGTCTGACGTCCGACGCACTTACTAACTTCCGCCTCTCTTTTGAAAGTGTGTTCTTGTCCAATAAAAGCTGTGCTCTGATGCTTTTTTTAATTTCCTCTAATTGCAAGGAATCCAGGTTGTTGGCACCACAGAAACACAATGGTAGGCAGGTGGACGTTATCACTCGTGATGTGGAGGAAGGACTGATGCTGCTAGATGACGAGCCTGATGATGAGGGGTACAGAGGGGTCGATGCTTCTGAGGTTGAAAGTTGAGACGAAATAGAAGATGAGTATGATGTTGGTGAGGATGATGACGATGATAGTAAATATGGAGAGGATGAGAACGGTGATGCTGCTACTTCAGATGCTGAGGAGGAGGGGAGGGGTGATAATGGAGAATATGAAGAAGATGAAGATGGAGAAGAAGAGTAAGATGAAATCAGCAATGACAGTGAAGATGAAGATGTTGGTGATGGTACGACGGCTGTATTTGGTGACAGTACAGATGACGAAGGAGATGAATATACAGAGGGGGAAGGGGATAAAGATGATGACGATGTTCCTGCATCAGAAGTTGCAGTCAGAAGTGGGACTGATGACGTATCGCTCATTTCTGAAAGAAAACCAGAGGCCATGTATTATTACAATATCTTCCTGATATTGAAACATCTTAGTTGCGTCTTTATTTATAAGTCATTTAACGCAACAGCCAGCAATATTACAACTCTGTCAAATGGGTTTGTAAATAATCGAGTCTAGACATTACAACCAGTGATTTTTTTATAAATAAGACCGATAAAAAACATTTCCATAACCATACGAAATATCCACAATAAGTAGAGTTGATTCCACTATCTCGATCCTATGTCATAAGCCCGTGTTAATGAATCACTATCAGAGAGTGATGATGCAATGTGTTTACGAAAAGGTGTGCGTATCCTGCCCAACCGGTGGCACCCGTCACAAACACATGCAAAGGCAAGTCAATTGTTCAAATGCAGAAACACGGGAACATATGGTTGACGAAAATAAAGTGAATTCCATCGGACATATTTTTGGTCGATGATGAGTCAAATTTGGAAATGTCCTCCACGCGTCTACCATAAAACTTTTTGAAAGCCCTGCCGAGGCCCTGCATGCTGTAACGCGGATCAAACAACTCCTGAACAAGAGTCGTCTGATACACTTGAAATGAGCATGTTCGATTGTGCCAGAAAGTGTGAAATGTAGACACCAAAGGCTGGAGCTGCTGGAATGATACTATTGCTTGACATCATCCTTACTGACCTCGCTTTCACCAGTTCAATGGCATACAAACTCAATTACTGAAGTAACTTAAACACATGGATTCCCTCTAAAGTATTAAATAGTGTCGTGAAATACCAACTGGAAACAAAAGAAATTGGTCCAGAAAGAAATCACGGTCGCACTGTTAATCGGAAAGTATTTCTCTTGTTGTGTCCGAGGGTATGTGTACAGACTTGACCTTTGTGTGGCCAATCTTAACATTATAATATTTACCGACAGGTGTCAGTATTGTTTTGGGGGCGGTCGGGTAGCCTAGTGGTTAAAGCGTTCGCTCGTCACGCCGAAGACCCGGGTTCGATTCCCGACATGGGTACAATGTGTGAAGCTCATTTCTGGTGTCCCCCGCCGTGATGTTGCTGGAATATTGCTAAAAGCGGCGTAAAACCATACTCACTACAGTATTGTTTTGAACAAAATACCTGAAGTTTCAGCTTCATTGGTTTACATCTTCCCGAGGCAAGAGAGTTAACTGACTTTATAAGTCAAGTTTCCAGTGGACTTTTATAGTCAGTTAGCTCCATTGCCTCGGGAAGATGTTGGTTTAATGCTTCTGAGAAGATGATGCGATGACGCGATGCAGGCCATAGCATACATGTATGTTCACTTGTCTGTCAATCATGTGAGCTAAAAATCAAGATAACGTAAACGAAACTACCGAATATGTATTCCACCGCCGTGACATACTATGTCCTAGTTTTTCTTTACATTTTGAGCTTTCATTTTTTTGTGATTCTCAGTTGATTTTACTGCTTTTCAACATACGTTTTTCTGTGTTTCATGTTTGTTTTTTCAGAGGCTTTGGGCAATATTCATGGCTTTTCTCTTATTAAATGTATCCCTTTCCAGTTTCCTTTTCGAAGGGGTGTTTAATAGTTCGACTCGAAAATATGGTATTCGTAATACTCTAACCATGTCAAGATCGCTTCCATGGGCCACCGTGCATCGCAGAGTTGTGTAATGTCTGCATGTTAGATAAGATCCTTACCAACACAGTTCAGAGTGGTACTTGTCCAGTGGCCACTGTCCTGGCAAATAACGTTCCCTGAGCCGCTTGCAGTGGCGTAGCCATCAATACATGCGTACACGGCAGTGCTTCCGCTCACCGTCGAGGTATAAGTCACATTCATGTTGGTCTGTGTAGCCGGGCTGCCGCAGTCAACTGTAATAATAACAATAATAATATCAATAACAAGAACAACAACAATAATAATAAAAATAATAATAATAATAAAAACAACAATAATAATAACAACAATAGCAATAATAATAATAACAATAATAACAATAACAATAATAATAATGTCGGTGTTGATTTTGTTGATGGTTATGTACTCCTGGACGGTACTGAAATGAGTGTCAACCATGTGAAAAGCCATATCAAATCGACCCAGACTCAGTTTTTCAAGGAGAGGCTATCTGAACGACCACTGCATCGAGTTTATGTGCAGTGTGTTGAGAAGATCAGCAACCCTACCGAGTCCTTCGCGTGGATGAGGTCGGTTGGCCTGAAAAGTGAAACAGAAGGTTTTCTGTTTGCTACTCAGGACCAGTCACTTCCCACTCGAAACCGTCAATTTGTCATTTTGCATCAAAATGTAAATATGAAATGCAGATTATGTAATGAATTTAATGAAACTGTCCAACATATTGTCAGTGGATACCCAGCTTTAGCACAAACACAGTATGTTAGACGACATGATGGAGTGGCTCGACCATTTTATTACCGTCTTACTTGTGGTTTTGACACAGAGGTCCATCCATGGTACGACCCGGAATATGTAGAGGGCGGTATGAAAAACGATAAATACTAAATTCTTTGGAATAGGCCCGTATACATCCTCATGCGTATCTGAATTACCACTGCATCGAGTTGTGCTGTGTGTTGAAAACATCACCAACCCGGATCAAGCGGCTATCGTCTTTGACCTGCACCAGACGTTAACCCCACTCCACCTTATCTCACCTCCTACATGATTACAAAACGTCAGTGAATAATCAGTCTCGCATATCTGCCGAAACAGATTCCATAGGGCTGAAAAAGCACCAGTAATTAAAGCTTTATGAACGGACCACTGAAAATCAGTAATGACATCAGTTTTTGGCGATTAGTGTAAACATGCTCTGCTCCACTGGCAGAAACCGCGACTCAAAACGTCAGTTAGACATTACTGAACTATTACAACGTGGCGTGTAAGTAAACTCACTCACCCATTCATTGGAAGCATTTAACGATGGTAAACGATGTACTTACTTTTACAAATAAGGGTGGGTTTAGTCCATGTTGCTGTGGCGTGTCGACATGCCGCGTCCCCAGAGCCCGATGTCGCTACATATCTGTCAATGCAGTCGTACACTGCGGTGCTGCCGCTCAGTGTTGACGTATACGAGACGTTCATGTTGGTCTCGTTTTGGGGTAGGCCACAGTCAACTGAAAGATTAATAAGTATAAGGTGAAACAATGTTGTTACAAATGCGGCCAAATGCAAACGAAAAATCCGACATATACATATGAATATCTCCACACGTGACAAATACGTACCCAAACAATCGGCAAGCCATACGGGGGATCCCCAGTTGCCCGAGGATGTACAGGTCACGTTTGTGGTCTCGTTTGTCACGAGACAGTGGTGGTAGGCAGTGCTGTCCAGGACCGTTTGGTTGTACTCTAGGCTGGCACCAATTACTTTGTCAGGAGGCCCGCAGTCAACTGAAGGAAACGACTCCCTATTAAACTTTTACTGCACAGACTGGATTAAAAAATTTAAAATATTTTGTGAAATTTTGTAAAATCAGAAAATGGCCAACAAAAGTTCCAAAATAAAAGCTGTCGTCTTGATACGTGTAAACTCTGTTTTAGATTGGCTATTTCTGATGAGATGTCATTTGGTTAATCGCAGAGAGTCAATATGTTTTAAATTAGATTTTTTTTCAAACGTTGTTTACAAAATTGCGAAACACATAGATGTACATCAGTAGATACACCATTCACATCCTGAGTACCCGAATCCTATGCCCGACACGGACAGATGACACGAACAACCAGACCGAACACCACGCACAGACATCCCGACATGAACCGACGACATCACACACAGACATCCCGACATGAACCGACGACACCACGCACAGACACCCGACATGAACCGACGACACCATGCACAAACACCCCGACATGAACCGACGACATCACACACAGACATCCCGACATGAACCGACGACACCACACACAGACATCCCGACATGAACCGACGACATCACACACAGACATCCGACATGAACCGACGACACCATGCACAGACACCCGACATGAACCGACGACATCACGTTCAGACACCCCGACATGAACCGACGACACCACACACAGACACCCGACATGAACCGACGACACCACACACAGACATTCCGACATTAACCGACAACACGCATAGACACCCGACAGAACCGACGACGCTACACACAGACACCCGACAGAACCGACAACACCATGCACGAACCCCACACCTGTTGACTACAGCACTACAGCGGCCCCCACTCCGTCACCCTACCCGATCTTGTTTCAATGACAAGTCCAGTCTTTACCTTCAGACGCCATTTCGAGCCCAGACTTTCGAGCCCCACTACTCGATAGCGACCTAATGTAAATACTCTATGGCGACCCTGCCGGCCCGGGACAAGGAATCTACTTACCGATACAAAAGAGGGTGGCGTTATCCCAATGCCCCGTCCCCAGGCAGGAGAAGTTGCCGGTGCCGCTGTCTCGGACGTATCCCGAGGCGCAGGAGTAGGTGGCAACGGCGGGGAAGTAGGTGGAAACATAGCTGACTACCATTCCTGGAGGCTTGGAAGGATGGCCGCAGTTAACTGCCATTCAAATCATACAGTGTCAACTCGTGTGTTATGCTGTTATGCTGCTATGGTTTAAAAAGAACCAATTTTACACTCGAATTTCCACTATTGCCTGTGCTTCATTGTTTAATTTTTCTCATATAGAAATATTTACCTAAAAAGTCTAACCTCATTCATTGACGCGCGCCACCAGTCATGACCTCATTTTGGTATGTACTTTGTTTTGTTTTTCTCAAAGAGGAATATTTGCTCAAAAAGTCAATGACGCGCGCCATTATTCATGACGTCATTTTGGTAATTCATTAACGCGCGCCTTGAGTCATGACGTCATTTGATATGTATATGTACATTCCTATGCTCTAAGCTGCCATATTGTGTAGACTAAAGCGTTCTAAACAACTGAAAAATAAATTAAACCATAAATCTACCATTAGTATATATTAAGTATATATTAAAGTATATATGCTACAATCCTCTCAGCGCGGTTGCTCGTTCTGTGAGTTGATCTGCTACACTTTAGAATGACATAAACTAAATACGTTGTGAAACTGTAGGAACACATATCTGAATGCTTACCACACTCTAATATTGAGTAGACCCATCTTGTACCGTTATCAGTTGGTACGGAGCACATCATCGTCATATTAGTACTGTAGGTTTTGCCACACGATTCTATAACGTGACTCTCAAGGTCGCTGCCCTTCGGTAATCGTTGAGCCGAGTTTTGCTTCTTTATCCAATGGAAACATTCCGTAAAGTTAGATTTGTTCAAATCCAGAAGGACTCCGTGGTGGTCGAGGAGGTGGTATTCTGTCACGTACTCACTCGCCTTCGCTGGAATACAATGAGTGAGTGAGTATGGTTTTACGCCGCTTTTAGCAATATTCCAGCAATATCACGGCGGGGGACACAAGAAGTAGGCTTCACACATTGTACCCATGTCGGAAATCGAACCCGGGTCTTCGGCGTGGCGAGCGAACGCTTTAACCACTAGGCTACCCGACCGCCCCGCTGGAATACAACTTTCAGATAGTACCACCTTACCAGCATTCCTAAACATTCAAGGTGTATCACCAAATACACCAACAGAGGAAAGGACAGGTGTGTGTATACTGTCTGTACGCTACGAGTTAGCGAGTTAACACTTATTTTCCTGTTTCACATAATGTTGTTTACGTATAGTCAGGCTGAACTGTAACCGACCCGGACAATATTCACACTACAGTAGACTACGGTTATATCGAACTCAAAGGGACCACTAATTTTAGTTCGCAATAACCGTAGTTCGTTATAAACATATATACAGCATATATACAACAAATGTCTGGGACTAAAAAATAAGTTCGTTATATCAGTCAGTTCGTTATAAGCGTGTTCGTTATAAACTTAGTTTCCTGTACGTCCTTACAATATACGTAGTTTAACATGATTATTTAAGTGATGACAGAACTATACTATCGGCGGCTAGCCGAGTTTTGAGCAGTGTTCCAGTTATATGTCAGCATTCGTAAAAAACTCGGGTTATTTCGGGACAAGTGCCCCTCTCGTGGCCATTTTTGCGACAGATCGTTGCATAATGATTCCCGTATGTTCCCCATTTATCGTATATATTCCAGATGTTATTAAAAACACATCGAAACTTTCAGTATTATACAGTATGATTGAACACATTTAACTGTATCTTGGGTATATTTTTAGATATATAAAAATACGTATATAAAATAAAAAATATTTCTGAAGGATTCTTTGACTGAAGTTCTTGAAGTTATACACGCATTCCGATTGGTTTGTCGTATTTTCGCACATAACATTCATCGACGGGAGTCTTCTTGCAGCATTCGTCACCACTCGCCCCTTTCCGTAACATGCAAGAAGACTCGTCCCCTAGTCGATGAATTTATGTGCGAAAATAACACAAACAAATCGGTATGCGCGTATGATTTCAAGTTCTTCATCAAAGAATCACTCAGAAATAATGTTTGATTTTACATATGTCCTGCATCTAAAAATATACCCAAGACACAGTTAAGTGTGTTCAATCATACTGTATAATTCCGCATGTCCAGATGTGCTTTAAATTACAACTAAAATATATATAATACATGGGAAAATGTATGTGAATCATGACGCAACGAGTTGACAATTGTTTTAGGTGTGCCCGTTTGCGCTAAGACGGAACCCGGTCGCAAAAATGGCCATGAGAGGGGCACGAGTCGCTATTCGGCTTGTTCTGGAAAAACACGAGTTGGTCACGAATGTTCTTGCAGGTTACGGAAAGGGACGAGTGATGACGAATCGGGTGTCAGCTTGGTGTGGGAGGAAGACCATCGTCTCTGATGTTTACCACATGGTGGCGAAAACATGACCACGGATAAAGTACTCACAAGATTGTGTATACTCTTGCTGGTAAACATCCTGCGAAGGGTTATGGAGCTATTCGGACATAATCATCAATTATACAGTTAGGGAAAAGGGCCAGCACCGTTTTTCAATGTACAGTAAACTACGGTTATAACGAACTCAAAGGGACCACTAATTTTACTTCGTTATAACCGTAGTTCGTTATAAGCATATATACAGCATAACTACAACAAATAGTCGGGACCAAAAAAGTAAGTTCGTTTTTCCGTCAGTTCGTTGTAAGCGTGTTCGTTATAACCGTAGTTTACTGTATGTCCATATAAAATAGGCAGTGTTTAAGCATCGAATCCTGTATTATATTTTTGAAGGAACTCATTCGGAAAATAATATCTAACTGTTCCATGGCGATATGTGTTCAACTTCCCTTTTTAGTTGTACTCTCGGCTTCTTAATATCACAATATAAATCTGTACCTCGGTCCATCAAGAAACTGTATCTAGGTTTATCACCATACCCGTGCTCGTGGCTTTCACCGAGGTGGTAAACGTCTGAAACCTGCATCACTTCGGGCTTTACTCCACATGAAGTTGACACGCCGTGATATAACTGGAATACTGTTAAAAGCGGCTTTAAATAGAGAATCTCACCTGAGTGTCTTTTGATATCAAATATATCAACACGAGTTGATAAAAGTGGAAAAATTCCGAGGCTTGCCGAGGATTTTTGCCACTTTTATCAACGAGTGTTGATATATTTGATATCAAAAGACACAAGGGTGAGATTTTATTTATCATCCAACATCATTCTTCCAGCTTCTTCAATTTGTTGACAGTAATTAGCAGTGTCTTCAGTGTAAAAAAGTACTGCTAACAGCTTCAGTAGCAGAGCCATTAGTGATGTCATTTGATTGTGACGTCATGGTAACCAGTGACGTCACAATGGTCAGCAAAGCATTGTGATGTAATTTCATTGCAGCGATATCTATAGTGTAGATATCGCTTGATCTCATCCAAGCGATATCTCCTGTGGGAGCCAGTTTTGGATGATAAATCCAACTCACTCACGCACCTAACAAGAAACGTCCCACGTATTAGCACTTATTGGTGCTGATTCATAAACACATGCTCAGACTTGAGTACAATTGACTCTTCTTTTAGTTAGCATTATGGAAATGATTTTTTCGTTTTTATTTACCATTTTTCTATCAGGTATCGGTCCATCATAGAAATGTATTAAAATGAGTCCAAAGTTGTATGTACATATTTCCAAACGTTACAGCGTGCAAGGGTGACCAAGTCGTCCAAGCCGCCGCCAATTGTTATACCGAGTTGCGTCCCTTCGGCATGCCAAAACAACCCGATTTAGTTTCTAGATTTATCAGCACCATACCCGGGTTTCACAACAGAGGGTAACGCCTGAGACCTGGGCCCACTTGCACAAAACTATCTTAGCGCTAAGACTATTGTAAGCCTATGTTAAAGTATGGGAGTTAAGATCATCTTAGCGCTAAGATCACTTTGTGCAAGTGGGCCCTGAACCACTTCGGTCCTTCCTCCCATATTAAGCTGACAAGTTGTGATATATCTGGAACACTGTTCAAAGCGGGGTATAACCAACCCACTCAGTCCAAACGTTACACGGAAACGCAGGATACATAAAAGTGAAGCTAAAGTGGTGCTGTGTTTTTCTCAGGTGTATATATTGACTGGTTGACAGTGCTGGAATATTTACTTGATCATTGAAGGCCAATGTTAAATATTGACGAGCTTTGATATAATCAGAAAAGACTTTGTAGTTCCACTGCTTTTTTTTTGTACCACTGGCTGTTTTTGTTGGAAAAGACAAGCATGTTTACTTTGTTCTCAGTTCCCGTACACAGGCAGTGTTTGATTTGATTATATTGTACAGGGCGTTCACTTTTCTATAACAGTGACTAAGTAGCGGCGGGCAATACACAAATAAAGGTAGTATACATTGTTTAGTTGTATTATTCGATAACATGGACGTTCGTTTACTCAAAGAAAGCGACGCTCTGATAAGCACCTGGCACTCAAGTCTCATAGAAGTGAGAGCAACGCAGAAAGAAACGGGTACCTCTCTTAAGTGGCAAGGAGTTTAAACTCATTTTTCCTTATAAACAGTTGCATATTATATCAAACATATTTAACAGAATGTAATCTGCTTTTAAAGAATTTATACGGATTAGATGTTGATATATAACTAAAGCTTAACACAATATGAATAATAAAAGCGTGTACTGAATGGGTTTTTCGTGATGGGCTCAGATAAATATTCCCACAATGTGAGATAGATAGATATATTGCTGGTGCGTAATTAAAATGACAACCATAGCGTGACAGCTAACTGGAGGAGGAAGGTACGAAGTGACCCATAACGTCAATTATTTTCAGGGGCGGTCGGGTAGCCAAGTAGTTAAGCGTTCGCTCGTCACGCCGAAGACACGGGTTCGATTCCCGATATGGGTACAATGTGTGAAGCCCATTTCTGGTGTCCCCCGCCGTGATATTGCTGGACTATTGCTAAAAGCGGCGTAAATCTATGCTCACACATGTGTGGTACGGACAACCCAGGGGACATAATCTGGGCGAAAGTTGGATTCGAACCCATTACCAGTGGATCCAAGCACGCCTCGAAATGAATTAATACATATACTTGGTATACATAAACTGAAAAAACAAACAATATCGACAAAAAACAAATATCAACATAATAGGACATCAAAAAAAAGGAAACTGGCAAACAAAATTGAGCGATGACGCACAGAGACAAAATGTAACAGTGGTTAATATTGGTTTGTTAATCATATTTTGAGATTTTTAAAGACACATATCCTAAACTACCTTATATTTCTTTCGTCGAAGATCGTTACTGTGGGCCCACTTGCACGAAACAATCTTAGCGCTTAGATGATCGTAACTAACATACTTTAACATAGGCTTACGATAGTCGTAGCGCTAAGATCGCTTTGTGCATGTGGGCCCTGATTCTTGTGGTTCCGTGATTGTTCTCTTTGGAACTGTTGACTGTTTTAATATGAAATAATTTTAAGTATGGTGCTGACAAACCTAGAAACATAATCGGGGCGAACCGGGATTCGAATCCACAATCATAGGTTTCTGGCGTGCCCAAAGGACGCAACTCTGCACAGCGAATCGCGGTGCCTTAAACGACTGGACCATCCGTGCCCCCAGCAAGGTTTATAACAATGTCAGCTACAGATACGTATGTCTAGCAGGATGATTGCAATTTGAAATTCACTCACGACAGCCAGGGATGTTGCAGTAGCCATATGTCTGGGTATTGGTGTTGGTGTAGCACCATGGTCGCGTCATCGACGATATGGGGTTGCGGCAGCTGTCCTGACCAGCTTGCCCTCCGGGGTACATCGCCGTCCTCTTGAAGGGGACGCTATCTTTGTTCCAGCCAATACAAGGACTACCATCTTCCGTCGTGTCGACACTTCCGGAGTACGTTGATCCATCCGCGTAAAGTCGGCAGATCGTGTCTGTGTGTTTGGAGGAATAGATGACTTTTTAGTACGTGCATTCATTCCCCAAAAAAACAAGAAAAAAAAACCTCAGTAAAAGTTATGTGTGTAGTGAAATGTGACCACACCTTTTAAAGTTTAAATGACCACAACGTCAAGTCTTAGCGACCACAATCATCATAACATTACGAAATTTTGTTGGATACGTACTATTTGGTCGATCAATTTTTATCACTGTTCAACACGTTTTCAAGACATTTAAAATGTCCAGGGAACAAATATTAAAACCTGAAAACAAATAAATTACTTTTTATGAGACAAATTATTATAGTCATATATTCCACAAATGCCATCAACTCTCACTCGAGTGGTGGCTAAAAGACCTGGATAACAAGTTGGGTTGGACACACATCGATCAACAAAGCGTTCGCAGTGCTACGACAGTCGCAAGCCAATGGTAAACTATGTACAGCGTGACCATAGGTCGCAGTGCTACGACAGTCGCAAGCCAATGGTAAACTATGTACAGCGTGACCATAGGTCGCTGTGCCACGCCAGTTGCAAGCCAATGGTAAACTATGTACAGCGTGACCATAGGTCGCAGTGCTACGACAGTCGCAAGCCAATGGTAAACTATGTACAGCGTGACCATAGGTCGCAGTGCTACGATAGTCGCAAGCCAATGGTAAACTATGTACAGCGTGACCATAGGTCGCAGTGCTACGACAGTCGCAAGCCAATGGTAAGTTACAGCGTGACATAGGTCGCAGTGCTACGACAGTCGCCAGCCAATAGTAAGCTACAGCGTGACATAGGTCGCAGTGCTACGACAGTCGCCAGCCAATAGTAAGCTACAGCGTGACCATAGGTCGCAGTGCTACGACTGTCGCCAGCCAATAGTAAGCTACAGCGTGACCATAGGTCGCAGTGCTACGACAGTCGCCAGCCAATAGTAAGCTACAGCGTGACCATAGGTCGCAGTGCTACGATAGTCGCCAGCCAATAGTAAGCTACAGCGTGACCATAGGTCGCAGTGCTACGACAGTCGCCAGCCAATAGTAAGCTACAGCGTGACCATAGGTCGCAGTGCTACGACAGTCGCCAGCCAATAGTAAGCTACAGCGTGACCATAGGTCGCAGTGCTACGATAGTCGCCAGCCAATAGTAAGCTACAGCGTGACCATAGGTCGCAGTGCTACGATAGTCGCCAGCCAATAGTAAGCTACAGCGTGACCATAGGTCGCAGTGCTACGATAGTCGCCAGCCAATAGTAAGCTACAGCGTGACCATAGGTCGCAGTGCTACGATAGTCGCCAGCCAATAGTAAGCTACAGCGTGACCATAGGTCGCAGTGCTACGATAGTCGCCAGCCAATAGTAAGCTACAGCGTGACCATAGGTCGCAGTGCTACGATAGTCGCCAGCCAATAGTAAGCTACAGCGTGACCATAGGTCGCAGTGCTACGATAGTCGCCAGCCAATAGTAAGCTACAGCGTGACCATAGGTCGCAGTGCTACGATAGTCGCCAGCCAATAGTAAGCTACAGCGTGACCATAGGTCGCAGTGCTACGATAGTCGCAAGCCAATAGTAAGCTACAGCGTGACATAGGTCGCAGTGCTACGATAGTCGCCAGCCAATAGTAAGCTACAGCGTGACATAGGTCGCAGTGCTACGATAGTCGCCAGCAAATAGTAAGCTACAGCGTGACATAGGTCGCAATGCTACGATAGTCGCCAGCAAATAGTAAGCTACAGCGTGACATAGGTCGCAGTGCTACGATAGTCGCAAGCCAATAGTAAGCTACAGCGTGACATAGGTCGCAATGCTACGATAGTCGCCAGCAAATAGTAAGCTACAGCGTGACATAGGTCGCAGTGCTACGATAGTCGCAAGCCAATAGTAAGCTACAGCGTGACATAGGTCGCAATGCTACGATAGTCGCCAGCAAATAGTAAGCTACAGCGTGACATAGGTCGCAATGCTACGATAGTCGCCAGCAAATAGTAAGCTACAGCGTGACATAGGTCGCAGTGCTACGATAGTCGCAAGCCAATAGTAAGCTACAGCGTGACATAGGTCGCAATGCTACGATAGTCGCCAGCAAATAGTAAGCTACAGCGTGACATAGGTCGCAGTGCTACGATAGTCGCCAGCAAATAGTAAGCTACAGCGTGACATAGGTCGCAGTGCTACGATAGTCGCCAGCAAATAGTAAGCTACAGCGTGACCATAGGTCGCAGTGCTACGATAGTCGCCAGCCAATAGTAAGCTACAGCGTGACATAGGTCGCAGTGCTACGATAGTCGCCAGCCAATAGTAAGCTACAGCGTGACCATAGGTCGCAGTGCTACGATAGTCGCCAGCCAATAGTAAGCTACAGCGTGACCATAGGTCGCAGTGCTACGATAGTCGCCAGCCAATAGTAAGCTACAGCGTGACATAGGTCGCAGTGCTACGATAGTCGCCAGCCAATAGTAAGCTACAGCGTGACATAGGTCGCAGTGCTACGATAGTCGCCAGCCAATAGTAAGCTACAGCGTGACATAGGTCGCAGTGCTACGATAGTCGCCAGCCAATAGTAAGCTACAGCAGTCGGATGCCAATGGCAACTATAGATTAACTTGTTCGAGTTTTCTAGATCTATTCCGCAAGAACTAATGGCTGTAGCCTATTCCTGTTTTGGAGTGTCACACATTTACATGGAATATGAAGAGGTCAACTGTTTCAACGAATACATATGTCTAAAACTGCCTACATACCACAATGGACGACTGGACATTCCTCCCAGTTTTTCGACAGGTCAATATAGCACCATGGACTTTTCTGACCGTTCGGGTTGCGGCAGTTGTTGGCCGCTTCCTCCCACGTCATATCCGGGAAATCTTCCAGTTGAAGCGAGGCGGCCGTGACCCAGGGCAGACATGGACGACCGTTGACAGTCATGTTGACACTTCCCTTGAACTCCTGACCCTTGGAGGACTGTCGGCATTCCACGCCCTCTGGTGGAGAAAGAAAACAGGTGCTTTTTCGGTTTGTTTCGAATGTTTGTTAGTTTGTTGTTTAACGCCGCACTCAGCAATATTCCAGCTATATGACGGCGGTCGAGTCTGAACCAGACAATCAAGTGGTTGACATCATGAGCATCGATGCACGCAATAGGGATACGATGGCATGCATCACCCAAGTAAGCGAGCCTGACCACCCGATCCCATTAGTCGCCTCTTACGACAAGCATAGTCGCCTTTTACGTCATGCATGGGTTGCTGAAGACCTATTCTACCCCGGATTGTTATTTTTAGTAGATTAAGGACTACTTGACTGTTACTTTTGGTGAATTCCTCGGAACCATTACCTGATACATATGAAGATGATATTACCAGCGGGATAATTAACGCGCCTCACGACATTGTCAGCGATATTTGAGTCATCAGGACGGCTTGTGATAGAGTCAAGTTAGATACACAAGCACTCGGCCGTGGTGGAGACAGTCACGTGATCGCAGTACGACTCTACCAGCTAGTAGTCTTGGGAATCGGTATTTGTTGAATGAAAAAAAGAGGTATGATCAGGAACCGATTTGGGTTCAATGAAAATTCCAACTTTATAAGTTACAGCTAACGTTAGGATAAAAAAATTTAAAGTGATCGTAAATGTTGAACGATTGTTAGGCATTGTTTTATTTTGGCAATGTGTGTGTGTGTGTGCGTGCGCGTGCGTGCGTGCGTGCGTGTGTGTGTTTGCTTGTTTACTGTCGTTCCACCGCCCCAATAACTCGGTGTATCTCCATTACCCAAGGAGGGTAAACCCCCTTCCGAAACCCCCTTCCGAAAGCCCCCAAAGTCAGACTTTCAACACAGTTTGGCCATACCTCCACATTTGATGTGTCATTCTTCAGCAACATGTGGGAAGAAAAGAGGTGTCACTCTCATGCACATTAACATGTATATGTTTTAAATTTTCCTCGATTTTTTATTCTGTCCAGCTGTACCTCAAAGGGTCATTACGATTTTGCTCGGCACATCAACACCCAAGGATGATGGCTAATTTTGTTGGCCTAAGGCTTGATATTAGAACGCTCCGCTCGGCACAGCGACACGTCAGGGGTTCGGATGAGGGCTAATTTGAAATGGTTTACAAAAGTACACACACACACACACACACACACACACACACACACACACACACACACACACACGGGCGCGCACGCAAACAGTGATGTGGGGGACTGGACTTACCACCCGTGTGAAGTCTCCCGAATACTTTCACCTCACACAGGCCTCCAGTGAGTCCAGTGATGGCCAGATCCAGATGGTCACCAACAGGAGCAGTGCTGCAGCCTATAGCCACAGTTATCTCCCCTGTCTGGTGGACGTAGTCGGGCGGGCTTGACACGGTGCAGGTCTTGTTCAAGCCGTCCCTGCTGATGACCATAGTCAGAGACGCAGCGGAGGCTGTAAGTACAATAGGCTTAAGTCTACAATCAAATAAATATAACACTAAAATAAATGCCTTTGATAAATAAATGCGCCCATGTAGAGACAGAACTATTTTTGTATCTAATTACTAACGGCAACGCAAATTTCACGTTGATTGGTCTTCTAAACTTCCAATTTTTTCTCCATCTACCTTGGGTGGTGATGGTCACCATTTTGATCTCGTATTTCCCACCAAGTTCCAACGAGAGATCGATCGTAGTCCCATTTACGGGGGAACATGTTCCGACGTCGTTGTCAGTCCACTCCGACGCAGCGGTTACTGTTGTTACAGTCGGGTCAATCTTCTCCTTGTCTGAAACATTCAATTATTGTAAATCCTTGAAAAAACGCCCGAGGTCAAGGCAGGCATATATTTTTTTTCAAAGGGGGATTTTTTTCATCAATCCGTGTGTTTGTTTCTCACGTTCTATACGGACATCTAAAATACGACCCGGTGTTTATCCAAGGCAGGCGTTTATTCAAGACAGGCGTTTATACAAGGCGGTCGTTTATTCAAGGCAGGCGTTTATTCAAAGATTTGCGGCATGTGTTTGATTTTTGTTAGAGACAGAATATGTTTTCTATCACGACTTACTTTCATACACTATGTTTTTCTCTGTAAGAAGGAGCCGTTCTGGTTTGTTCAGGACATCCAGTATATCCATCTTCCCAAAGCAAGGAAGTTAACTGACTTAAAATCCAGTTTCCAAACTTGTCGAACTGGGCTGGAATTCCAGAGTTACATTTTTGGTTGGACAAACGAGTATTTGCATAGTCCATTCCATCTTCCCAGGGCAAGGGAGTTAGCTGACTAAAAAAGTCCAGTTTCCACCCTTGCCGAACTAGGCTTGAATTCCTGGGCTCTATCGTAGCACCACCAGTGGTTATTACGAGTTATGTCCCTTCTGAGCCTCTCCTTTAGTTAAAGCGTTAGCTCGTCACGCCGAGGACCCGGGTTCGATTCCCGACGTGGGTACAATGTGTGAAGCCCATTTCTGGTGTCCCCCGCCGTGATATTGCTGGAATATTGCTAAAAGCGGCGTAAAACCAGACTCATTCACTCACTCACTCACTCACTCACTCGGGTCCCATCAATGACACCGCTGACTTTGAGGCTGATGGAATAGATCAGTGATGCTTTGTTAAGACTGTTAATCACTTGTGTTAGTGACAGTTTATGGTTTTCCCCGGGCCAGATCCGGATTGTGAATATAGGCAGGGTTAAAGGCCGGACAAGCCGGAGTCGGCAGTTATGTCAGCCGAGGTTGACAGTAGCACTGCAGTGCATCACAAAATTCACAGTATTTGTGACTAAAGGGGCCAAGATTTTGTGAGTATACACACAATATGTGTCATTAAATTGTCTTTCTGTTGTTTGGGATAGGTTTGTATTGTTAGGACTTCTTCATGCTAAAGCTATTGTTTATTTGATATAACTGTAGAGCACGTGCGTTAGTGTCACCTATTTTCGTGACATACTGGTAAAATAAGTTAGTACTTTGCTAACATGAATATTTAATGTAATCAGTAAATGTGTCATTGAATAGGCAGTTTGAGATATTGGGAAAACTATCTTAAGGTTGCTTTATTTTATATTCAGCTTGAGCGGTTTCAACGTTTAAAAGTAAAACGAATATGATGATTTGTTCAAGTGTAACAACCAGGACAAGAGATTAAACGAGTGCAAGATGAACCCCCTTTTGTCAACTTTACAACCATTCGTGACCAACTCGTGTTATGTCGGGACAAGCCGAATAGCTACTCGTGCCCCTCTCATGGCCATTTTTGCGACCGGGTTCCGTCTTAGCGCTAACGGGCATACCTAAAACAATTGTCAGCTCGTCGCGTTATGGTTCACATATATTTCCCCATATATTATATATATTTCAGATGCAGTTTAAAGCACAGCTGGACATGCGGAATTATACAGTATGGCTGAACACATTTAACTGTGCCTTGGGTATATATTTAGATGCAAGATATATGTAAAATCAAAAATTATTTCTGAGGGATTCTTTGACGAAGAACTTGAAATCATACGCGCATTCTGATTGGTTTGTCGTATTTTCGCACATAACATTCATCGATAGGGGACGAGTCTTCTTGCAGGTTACGGAAAGGGGCGAGTGCTTACGAATGCTTTACAACAATAACTTGTTTATATTGCCCAGCCTTTATACCATTCGTCACCACTCGCCTCTTTCCGTAACCCGGTCACATAAATGGCCATGAGAGGGGCACGAGTCGCTATTCGGCTTGTCCCGGAATAACACGAGTTGGACACGAATGCCTTTATCCAAGCCACCATGAATAATACTAACTAAAGACCATCCCTTCTAAGTTTGGTGAGTGAGTGAGTTAACATCGCTTTAAACGGTAGTGTCAGTCCAAAGTAACGCAGATCGATGACGTGTTCCACAGTGTTAATCCTGGCATCAGGATCGGGAACATGTGGGTTCGAACTGAAAACGAAGTTATGTATGGCTGAAAGACCAATTGGCTATTTTACCTGAGCAGGAGAGTCCATATGACTCCCAGTAACCTGTCACCTTGCACTGGACCTGCTGTTGCCCGCCTCTATAGTGGTAGCCGTGGTCGCAATAGTAGATGGCGGTACTGTAGAGAGACGCTGTCGTGAACACCACACGCCTCCCCGGGAACGGCCTGGGAACGCCACAGTCCACTGGTAGGGACAGAGATCAGAAGCTATATAGTGGTCTGTAGAGCGGTGGTTCATTTGTGTATGATAGGGAATCGAACCCGGACAAAACTCTGCAACATGGTGCGACCTAAGCATTCAGCTAACACAGACCTTCAGGTCATAATCTGCATTGTTCTTGCGGTGTAGTTTTGTGTGAATACATGTTAAGTTCACAAAATAGTAATAATTAAATATTGTATCAGTAATAATCGTATCCCATGGGGATTCCGAGCCTAATGATCGTCGATAAATGGGAATCAGAAGGACAAAATGACAAAATTGAAGATAATACTTGGATGATGAGGTGAAATCTGACGGTTTATATTCACCAAATGGCAGCCATTACACTTGTTCCTTGGCCATCTTACAAACAGCAACGGGACATTTCATTGATGAATATTTTCTATTACCATGACAGTCGTGCAGTGTGTTTGTTGTTTAACGCCTCACTCATCATGAGCATCGATCCACGCAATTCGGATCGATGTCATCCATCAACCAAGTCAGTGGGCCTGACCACCCGATCCCATTAGTCGTCTCTTACGACAAGCATAGCCGCCTTTTACGGCAATCATGGGTTGCTGAAGACCTATTCTACCCCGGTTCTTCACGGGTCGACAGTCATGATATAATGAAATGGCACATATTCCAATATTGTTGCGCGTCTTTTCAGTTTCATTCATATGACCCAACCTGCACTTTTTCATGTGTTTTATCAACCATTTGCTTCACTTGTGTTTGGTTTAACCTGCTAATAAACTTATGATAATAATATTGGTGTCTCTGAATTCACATGGAAAGCAAAGAGAGTTCTTCAAACGGATGACATCAGACGCACCGACATTGAAGCTCCACGTTTTTTTGATTACACACGTCGTAAAATATCTGTTTGTTGTGCATTTCTTACCTGATGGTATTCGGCCATACACTTGAACATCGCATATCTTGATTGTTCCTACGTCAGGGGTCGAACCCCGTATGATCAAACTTTTTCCAATAGGAAACAATCTCTCTGCTGTGCAATCGACAAGTGTACGATTCTCCCAAGGGAGTCGAGAAGCTGTATCGCAAGTCTGCTTTGGGCTATGTACTTCCAAGCGGAAGTTATACAGATCTTCCTCTGAAAAAGACAAATCACTGGTACAGTCTCCATTATGGTAGTGAGTGAGTGAGTGAGTGACTGTGTCGTTGGGCAAATCAGAAGGAAGTGATACTCATCACTTAAATAGTTCATCTTAACTTACACACCCTGCATATCCTCTTTTTAAGTCTATTCCCCCGCGTCGTCCTTTTCCGATTAAACGCTTATGAGAACCATGTCTGAACTGGACTTATGCAACACACCGTTTATGAGAACCATGTCTGAACTGGACTTATGCAACACAAGGTTGATGAGAACCATGTCTGAACTGGACTTATGCAACACAAGGTTAATGAGAACCATGTCTGAACTGGACTTATGCAACACAACGTTTATGAGAACCATATCTGAACTGGACTTATGCAACACAAGGTCAATGAGAACCATGTCTGAACTGGACTTATGCAACACAAGGTTAATGAGAACCATGTCTGAAGTGGACTTATGCAACACAACGTTTATAAGAACCATGTCTGAACTGGACTTATGCAACACAACGTTTATAAGAACCATGTCTGAACTGGACTTATGCAACACAACGTTTATGAGAACCATGTCTGAACTGGACTTATGCAACACAACGTTTATAAGAACCATGTCTGAACTGGACTTATGCAACACAGCGTTTATAAGAACCATGTCTGAACTGGACTTATGCAACACAAGGTTAATGAGAACCATGTCTGAACTGGACTTATGCAACACAACGTTTATAAGAACCATGCCTGAGCTGGACTTATGCAACACAACGTTTATGAGAACCATGTCTGAACTGGACTTATGCAACACAACGTTTATGCAAACTTATGTCTGTGAGGTAGGGTTCAGTACAGACATGAGATTTATATTGGAAATAAGAGCGGCGGTTCCTTGAAATGGGACTGTCCGTTATTGGAAGTATATTTCTTTTAATGTTTGCGGTATTATTGACATTAAAATATTTGGATTTGATGAGCACTTATCATTTGGTAATTGTTCTGTTCATATTTTGATGTGTCGGAGTTGGATATACTTGTTTCCTTCTTCAACTTTCAATGTTATTTATTCGCTGAAACGAAATATGAAAACGTTGACACTTCAAAAGAACTTTCGAAGAGTAGAGACGAAAATGTCACTATGTCCGCTAAGGGTCGCACTATTGTGTTGTGTTGATGTTTTAGCCAATGAAGGTGGAGGGAAAGGAAGAGTAGTGAAAAGTGTTCCAATTTAGAAACGTTCGATCGTCAAAAGTACCCCGATTTGAATGTTGAAGACCCGAAGATATCATGATGTAAGACTCTATTGAATTCCCAAAATAAAATATTTACCAGAAAACATGTGATAAATAATCAACTTCCTATACTTGAGTCAATGGCATTTCGAATCACGGGTAGTGCTCTTAGGCGCTGCTTTTCGCTGTACGGTGTGACGAGCGAATGCTTTAACTACTGGACTATCATAAATTGAGGACAAGTTGTATCGGAAGTTGTCAAACCACGTAGTAAGCGTCGTGAAATGAAATCGAATTCATACTCTGATATTTCGAAAAAAACGTTCGATCATGATAATCTTTCTTTGCTTAAACGTCTGTTGTTGGCATAAATAAAAATGGTCAAAGTGCTATAATTCAGCAATTTTAAAACAAAATTGATTAATTTAGCTTAATTCTATGTTTTAATTATTTATTGTATGTATAAGATTAAATTAGTTTTGGTACAAAACATATGTTCACTTATGACTTTAGGTTTTGCATAGTACTCATATCCCTCCAGGCAAACTGGTTAGAGCTATATCGCTCCCATGTCAGCACATGGAACATGTATGTGTGCATTACAGTCTACATATTCGACAGAAGCAGTTAAAACAATGGCGCCTTTTATTATATACTTCACCGTGAAAGACTGAGTTTTCTGAAGTTGGGAAAAGTGATATTTTCATTGCAGTGAACACAACACTTGCTATTTTACTGCAGTGAACATTACAATTTGACGGAACTATTTTCATTCATGAGTTACTTCCCCGTTAATTGTCTCCCTTTGTCGTAAGTGACTAGCCCGTACACAATTGTTGACGTTTTTTTTACGTTAGTTCCACATTGACGATTCAAAATACTGACAGATGGTCATTTATGGAGTTAATATCACTTCTAGGCGTTTATTCTTCTCTGGAAAATGTTTCGTTATAAATTGTAAATCTTTCATTTAACTCGTCAATCGAGACTGTTCGTTTCGCAAAACGCCATTTTTGTTACTTGACCAGCGTGAATTCCTTCGTTTCTCTCACCGGTCTTCTAGCATTCAAGACTATGTTTTGGTTAAGTTGATCTTGTATATAATCATACAAAAATCTATGATAAAGAGTTATTGCGACCGACACATGAAATATCCTCTACATATTGTATGGTGTTAACCGGCCATTTGGAATGGAAACTAAACTGGCACTTGATGACAAATAGGTGTGTTCCAGGCTTAAGGCGGGACACGCACAAGTCCTTGCCATGACTTGCGCTCTATCAATAAACGGAATCACGTCAAAACACTGTTATCATGGACCCCCTTTCTTGCCAGGGTTCCCCAAGTATACAATTTCCCGCTACTAAGTGAAGTTTCTACTTATCATATGAAGATCAGGCCGCAAAACTTTTCACGAAGTCGTGAAAAGCAACAAACGACGTCACGATTTTAATATGACGTCTTTTACGTTAAATAATCGATTGGACGTTTATTTACAAGGCGATAAACATGTGTTTTCAGATTCTCGTACATTTTGGGGGTTGAGTCCCGTCCAGGATTCGAACCCACACTGCCAGAGTGAGGCATCTGATCGCCAGCCAGAAAGCCAGCAATCTAGCCAACTCAGCCCCCGATGCTTCCACAAAAAATGAAAGTCCGACAACTCGTTGTCTAGATCACGTACTTTGTGTACCCCTCTGACAAGTGTAAATTGGCACGGCCGCCGTGACCGAAAGCTATGAATACACAATGCGATTAAGAAAGTGGTCAAATGTAACAAATATTAGATTTCGGATAACACTTTCTTAGTAAGGGACTCAGCCTAAAAATGTATGAGAATCTGTATTTAAATGAGAAAGTGTAATCCCAAATATAACATTTGTTACATTTGACCACTTACTAAATCGCATTGTGTATTCATGTGTTTCCATATTTACTAGGGGGCACGGGTGGCCCAGTCGTCTAAGGCGCCGCGATTCGATGCGCAGGGTTGCGTCCCTTGGGCACGCCAGAAACCTATGATTGTGGGTTCGAATCCCGGTTCGCCCCGATTATGTTTCTAGGTTTGTCAGCACCATACCCGTGCTCGTGGGTTTCACCGAAGTGGTAAACGTCTGTGACCTGCATCACTTCGGGCTTTCCTCCCACATTAAGCTGACACGCCGCGATATAACTGGAATACTGTTAAAAGCGGCGTTTAACCCAACTCACTCACTCACCATATTTACTAATGTATCCCCTTGTTGGAATTGCGGCTTTGCGGAGGGTGTTATAAATGCATACGTACCTGAGGGTCGTATGATGGCGACTTGGAGAATCTCATACGGGCCGCCATCGAGACTGACAACAAGTCGATTCTGTCTCTGGCACGTTTCGGAGCTGATGGACACGCCGAGCGTTGACGCTGACGAGACGTTGACGTTGGTGTGTATTCCGGTACTACTGTCTACTGTGAGCAGGTTCGAGGGCGTCGAATTGATATCTGTCGTCAATGACGTCATGGGTATTGCGATATCCGTCATTGAGGGTTGTAGCGACAGGTGTTCGGTGGAAGGGGTGCTTGTGCTCTCTGGGAAAGAACTTGAGTCGCGTGATGTGAGATGGACAGAGTAAGAGTCACTAGATGAAAGATAAACATCGCTGACTTCACCAGAAGTGGAATATACAGAGTTAACGTCACTTGAATCGGGATTAAGAGAACTGAGGTCACTTGAAGTATGGACACTCGAAGGGAAGAAGTCAGAATTGTAATTGTTGTCATTAGACGCGGAATAAACAGAACTGGGGTCACTTGACAAGGAATAAACAGAACTGAAGTCAGTAGACGGGGGAGAAAAAGAAGTGGAATCACTGGACGAGGAATAAACAGAATTGGAATCACTTGAGGAGGAAACATCAGGACTGGGATCACTTGACGAGGAATAAACAGAATTGGAATCACTTGAGGAGGAAACATCAGAACTGGGATCACTTGACGAGGAATAAACAGAGCTGGTACCACTCCACAGTGAATAAACAGGACTGACCTCATTAGACAAAGAATAAACAGAACTGAAGTCAATGAACGAAGAATAAACAGAACTGACGTCACTAAGGGTGTCATAAACAGACCTGACATGACTAGAGCTGCCATCATTCACTTCTGTTGAAACAGTGTGAGGAGAATCCGTGTGGAGTGTCCCTACAGAGGAGAGGGTGCTGTGCTGAGAAACAACGACCGTGGGTGCCAAAGCGCCCGCTGTGGAAGCCATGGCAACGTCATTGCTGCCCGTCAGGTCCACGGACGACGGTGCGTTATAAGCGATAGTCGCTGCGTCACTGGTTGTCATGATGACGTTGTTGGTCGTGACGCTTATGTGGTTGGTGGCGTCATCGGAGGATGTTGTATCACTGCCAGCTGTCGAGTCGGAGCTGATGCTATTTCCCGTCGATGGAAGGAGATATTGTATACTGTCTACTATTGTTTCCTTCTCTGAAATTAAAATCGCAATCAACGTCATCATCAAATAGATCTACAGGTCGAAAATCGTATCTGATATGATTGGCAACTGTAAGAAAGTAAACTTGCTTCAACGTGGCATTGCCGTCAACAACTGAAAGTGTCACATTTTGAACTCGACAAAATCACGTTTGTTTTAATTTGCCTTTGATTTGGATCCTTAATTAATTATGTTAAGTTCAACACATTGGGGGTAAAGTTAGTTAACTTTTTGTTGACTGGCACACCCTTCTCACTTCAAATTGTTTTGAGCTTGTCGATGTGAAATATTATATAAGAGATAGTTGAATGATTGCTAGGATTTAGAGATCATATATGATCATGTTTGTATAAACTTAAAGACTTTTAAATACTTGGAATGAAAAAAAGCCATAATACCTGCGCAGTAGACGGGGCTCTCCCACCGCCCTATAGCGGGGTCGCAGTATAGCCGGTTTATAGGTGCGGTTTGATTGGTTGTCCCCAAGCACGTGTAGCTGACATACACGCCCGACAACGAGTTCGCGCTGTTTGCTTTTGAATGCGTGTAGTTCAATGGTGGCCCGCAGTTCACTGAAATAAACACCAGTGTGGTGACTGACTTTGCCTCTGTTAAATTAAACGTTGCGTGCATAAGTTTGAAACAGTACTTCATAGCACTTTAAAGACGGTCAGAGATGTAAGAATGAATATTCACACCTGCACTTGTTACAAGTGAAATTTTCTAATATCACTAAATAGCTACGCATTTAATGCACTATAGATGGTGAATTCTCAGCCTAAAAGATTCACCCAAAACATATGTCTTATGAGCATTGACAAAATGTCTTAAGGGAACAAACGTTGCTTATTCTGGCAAGGACCTGAGATTTTTGTTAGCGAGATCATATACTGTTTCCAGACATTCAATTCTATAAAACGAGGAGCCGAATAACCTGTTGTTCACAACACATGTCTTCAGATCATCTAGTATATGCGGCGAACAAATATGTTTCTTAAGATTTGAGGCAAAATAAACTTGTTCAAGTCTTTCCTGGTTCAAATTATGTTTAGATAATAGCTTGAGGTGAACCCGACTTGACATGACAGAATTACAGCATGACATCGCATGAAATGAATACCAGCTTGAGATTAACCCGACTTGACATGACAGAATTACAGCACGACATGGCATGAAAAGAATACCAGCTTGAGATTGACCCGACTTGACATGACAGAATTCGCATGAGCAGCGTCAGAATTTTCTCACCACCTCATTTTGAAAAGTCTTCTATTGGTGTTTAAGGCTGCGTGTAGAGCTGGGCATGCTTACTCGTCGCTGATTTACATTTAACTATTCATTCAACATTGATCTCCAATTTGCCTTTTACGACAAATGTTATTGTTTCGGCATATAATCATGATCATACACTGGCATTGAAATTTATTATTCGTATGACACCGAGATTTGGATATCACACAATTATCATTCGTGTCCAACTCGTGTTATTCCGGGACGAGCCGAATAGCGACTAGTGCCCCTCTCATGGCCATTTTTTGTGACCGGGTTCCGTCTTAGCGCAAACGGGCATACCTAAAACAATTGTCAACTCGTTGCGTAATGGTTCACATACATTTTCCCATGTATTATATATATTTCAGTTGCAATTTAAAGCACATTGGGACGTGCGGAATTATACAGTATGACTGAACACATTCAACTGTGTCTTGGGTATATTTTTAGATGCAAGACATGTAAAATCAAAAATTATTTCTGAGGGATTCTTTGACGAAGAACTTGAAATCATACGCCCATTCTGATTGGTTTGTCGTATTTTCGCACATAACATTCATCGATAAGGAGACGAGTCTTCTTGCAGGTTACGGAAAGGGACGAGTGGTGACGAATGACACAATTACATTCCCCTGTTGAGGCGAATTCTGCTGCATGCTTACACAGGCAAGTGGGCGCATTCCCCGAGTAGGTTCCCCCTTGGCACTGTCGGTGTAAGTTTCCTCCAGTGAGATCGTAGCCTGCTAGACATGTGTAGTTCGCCCACGTAGTGTCAGCTCCGCCCTCCCACTTCCGGTACGCATTGGCAACGGGAAAAGGTTCAGTGCAATCGCTGCCAGCTTTTGATGTAAGGAACAAAAGTAATGTTATGTACATTGTTTATTGTATATTTCCTCGTAAATATGATCACTAAAATCCTTTTCAGGGACACGTAACGAAGAATAGATTATATAATTAGTAATTATATTCAAATATATAAGTTCCACAGTGTCTGAATGAAGCCAAGATTAATCACGTAGTGGACCTTTAAAAATAAAAAAATAATCAGAATATGATCGGTGACTACTTGTAAACTCGCAGCAGTGTTTCTAAACAAGCCAATAGCATGAATACATTTGCGTTTACATCCAAGGATATGTTCCTGGGTAATTCCATGAATCTCTGCCGATGTAAATAGCGAGACAAAACGAACATTTAGGCTAGGCTTTATTCACAAACCGAATTAATTAGATTGTTTTCAGAATAAGCGATGTTTTGACAGTCTCATTAGACGTAACAATGCCATGATTTTTACACATATTCTAAAGCATTAACGCCGCACATTCTTTTATGATAGATAAGAGAATTCCTTTTCCCTTTGTGGGGTGGTGAAATGAGGTTTACCGTCGCGCGAGATTATTGCACTTATATAGCGACGTGCATGCGCGTATGTGAGGCTGCCTTGAAAACAAAGACAAATGCCGGTTTTATAGTGCTAGCACAATGAGATACCATGCGACAGTTTCACATGAATACGCACTCACGCACAGTTTATTCCGAGCCGAGAGTTCCTTGGCATATCCCTCAATGCAGGGTAACAAGAAGAAGTAGAAGAAGAAGAAGTAGAAGAAGTAGTAGAAGAAGAAGTAGTAGAAGAAGAAGAAGTAGAAGAAGAAGAAGAAGAAGAAGTAGAAGAAGTAGTAGAAGAAGAAGTAGAAGAAGAAGAAGCAGAAGAAGAAGTAGTAGCAGAAGAAGAAGTAGAAGAAGAAGAAGTAGAAGAAGTAGAAGAAGAAGAAGAAGAAGAAGTTGAAGAAGTCGAAGAAGAAATAGAAGAAGAAGTAGAAGAAGAAGAAGTAGAAGAAGAAGAAGAAGTAGAAGAAGAAGAAGTAGAAGAAGAAGTAGTAGAAGAAGAAGAAGTAGAAGAAGAAGAAGAAGTAGAAGAAGAAGTCGAAGAAGAAGTAGAAGAAGAAGTTGAAGAAGAAGTAGTTGAAGAAGAAGAAGTCGAAGAAGAAGTCGAAGAAGAAGTAGAAGAAGAAGAAGTAGAAGAAGAAGAAGTAGAAGAAGAAGAAGTAGAAGAAGAAGAAGTAGAAGAAGAAGAAGTAGAAGAAGAAGAAGAAGTAGAAGAGGAAGTAGTAGAAGAAGTAGAAGAAGAAGTAGAAGTAGAAGAAGAAGAAGAAAAAGCAGTAGAAGAAGTAGAAGAAGAAGTAGAGGAAGAAGAAGAAGTAGAAGAAGAAGTAGAAGAAGTAGAAGTAGAAGTAGAAGAAGAAGTAGAAGTAGAAGTAGAAGTAGAAGAAGAAGAAGAGTGAGTGAGTGAGTATGGTTTTACGCCGCTTTTAGCAATATTCCAGCAATATCACGGCGGGGGACACCAGAAATGGGCATCACACATTGTACCCATGTCGGGAATCGAACCCGGGTCTTCGGCGTGACGAGCGAACGCTTTAACCACTAGGCTACCCGACCGCCCAAGAAGAAGAAGAAGAAGAAGTTGAAGAAGAAGGAGAAGAAGAAGAAAAAGAAGAAGTAGAAGAAGAAAAACAAGAAAAAGAAGTAGAAGAAGAAGTAGAAGTAGGAAAAGAAGAAGAAGAAAAAGAAGAAGAAAAAGAAGAAGAAAAAGAAGAAAAAGAAAAAGATGAAGAAGTAGAAGAAGTAGAAGTAGTTAAAGAGGAAGAAAAAAAGGAAGAAAAAGAAAAAGATGAAGAAGTAGAAGAAGAAGTAGAAGTAGTTGAAGAAGAAGAAAAAGAAGAAGAAAAAGAAGAAGAAAAAGAAGAAAAAGAAGAAGAAAAAGAAGAAGAAAAAGAAGAAAAAGAAAAAGATGAAGAAGTAGAAGAAGAAGTAGAAGAAGAAGTAGAAGATGATGTAGAAGAAAAAGAAAAAGAAGAAGAAGATGTAGAAGAAAAAGAAAAAGATGAAGAAGTAGAAGAAGAAGTAGAAGATGATGTAGAAGAAAAAGAAGAAGTAGAAGAAGAAGTAGAAGTAGGAAAAGAAGAAGAAGAAAAAGAAGAAGAAAAAGAAGAAAAAGAAAAAGATGAAGAAGTAGAAGAAGTAGAAGAAGAAGTAGAAGATGATGTAGAAGAAAAAGAAAAAGACGAAGAAGAAGATGTAGAAGAAAAAGAAAAAGAAGAAGAAGTAGAAGAAGAAGAAGTAGAAGAAAAAGAAGAAGATCTAGAAGAAGAAGAAGTAGAAGAAGAAGAAGAGGAAGAACCTTTTTTTATTAAAGTGTCACAAATGCAAGTAGGACAAGAATTTGATGAAACTTACAAACCGCTGTTGGTTTCCACGTGAGCAGCCAGCACAGCAGGAGAGAGCGGGGAAGGTCAACAGCCATCTGCCTGGAACATTACAGCCGCCGCGTTAGAGTGAGTGAGTGAAGTTTGTTTAACACTGCAGTCAGAATATTACACTTGGACTAATGACGGAAACATGATCAGAGCCCTCGAGGCTTCATGACATCACACGATCCAATTTAGTCACCGTTATCGGCAGTACGGTGATTGGGGCCTATTCAAACCGGGTGTATATCCTAAGATCACACGCAGTGGCCGGGCGGTGGGTTAGATCAGGTTTAACATGTGACCTTCGCCTGGGTTTGCTTCCTAGTAAATGTGCGTAGCTCAGTTGAGGACATATTACTTGCATTTTGCATAAAAAACAGCGTAAATTCATGCACATCTGACATGAAGTCTTAGCTTAATTAGAGGTGTAAGAGCGGAGGGGTGTGTGGGGTTGGGGTGGGGTGGGGTGAGGGGGACTCTGATTCCATCTGGGGCGGTCGGGTAGCCTAGTGGTTAAAGCGTGCGCTCGTCACGCCGAAGACCCGGGTTCGATTCCCGACATGGGTACAATGTGTGAAGCCCATTTCTGGTGGCGGGGTTGCTGGAATATTGCTAAAAACGGCGTAAAACCATACTCACTCACTCACTCACTGATTCAATCTTACAATGATAACACCATGTTCAAAATTCTGAAACATGCAATTAGAGCATCATTTTTGTCATTGACGCGTAGTATTTGGAACGGGCTATGGACGCGCATTGCAAACACACGTGACGTTGCATATGATAATGGCAATTAAAATACTAGACAGATAGGGTTTATGGGCTATAGGGTAATTTGTCTTTGTTCATTCAGACAAAGGTTGTCCTAAATTGGTCGCTATAACACTATCATAAAACCATTTGAAATCTTAACTAACACCTTGTATGTTGTAACCACATCAAATAACTTTTGAGCAAGAGTCGCACGACGCTCTTTATAGTCTGAGGCGAACACAAAGTACGTGATCTAGACTACCAGTTGTCGGACTTTTATTTTGTGAAAGTCTCGGTGGCTGAGGAGGTAAGAACGCTGATTCTGTGTGCTGGCGATTAGGTGCCTCTCTGGTAGTGTGGGTTCGAATCCCGGATGGAACTCAACATAAAAAACACTGTACTTTACTAAGAAAGTGTTATCCCAAATACAACAATGTTATAAAGGTAGACATGTTTGGTTACAAAAAAACATAACAAATTTCAGTCGATACTTTTTGTCAATGTTCCGAAAAAAGTTAATTGAGCCAGCTCATAAGGTTGGGTTATTGGATCACTAACGCTATGTTTTATATGATAAAGATTGCAATGAGTTCAACCATTCCTTGTATTGATAGCTTTCTTTACCATCCACTTTACCGCGGCTCTGTCTGGGAGTTGTTGTCACTGAAATCATATTCAGTGTATGGAAGAAGAAGAACTACTGGCATATTCCTAGAGTATCGATGTGCTTGCGTTTGATCGATTTAACTAGTAGTCTGATGTTATAGATGAATAACCACACTGCTAGACATCATACTTCACACTTCATCCCCGGAATATGGACAATGGAAACCTATAGCTCAATGCTTTAACCAAGAGAAGCACACCTGCACTGTCCACTTGGGCTGGTCAAGTAGCTCCTACGCAACCAACTAGTTGTATACGAATCATGCTTGATCAGCATTACCTGAAAACACGGTCCACAGGACATGAATAAAGAACTGAAGCATCAGCTATTGAGCTGTTACATCTACTAATGAGCTGATACATCTACTATTGAGCTGTTACATCTACTAATGAGCTGTTACATCTACTAATGAGCTGAAACATCTACTATTGAGCTGTTACATCTACTAATGAGCTGTTACCTCTACTAATGAGCTGAAACATCTACTAATGAGCTGTTACATCTACTAATGAGCTGATACATCTACTATTGAGCTGTTACATCTACTAATGAGCTGTTTCATCTACTAATGAGCTGAAACATCTACTAATGAGCTGATACATCTACTAATGAGCTGATACATCTACTAATGAGATCATACATCTACTAATGAGCTGTTACCTCTACTAATGAGCTGAAACATCTACTAATGAGCTGTTACATCTACTAATGAGCTGATACATCTACTATTGAGCTGTTACATCTACTAATGAGCTGTTTCATCTACTAATGAGCTGAAACATCTACTAATGAGCTGATACATCTACTAATGAGCTGATACATCTACTAATGAGATGATACATCTACTAATGAGCTGATACATCTACTAATGAGCTGATACATCTACTAATGACCTGATACATCTACTAATGAGCTGATACATCTACTAATGAGCTGATACATCTACTAATGAGATGATACATCTACTAATGAGCTGATACATCTACTAATGAGCTGATACATCTACTAATGAGCTGATACATCTACTAATGAGCTGATACATCTACTAATGAGCTGATACATCTACTAATGAGCTGTTACATCTACTAATGAGCTGATACATCTACTAATGAGCTGATACATCTACTAATGAGCTGTTACATCTACTAATGAGCTGTTACATCTACTGATGAGCTGATACTTCTACTAATGAGCTGATACATCTACTAATGAGATGATGACTTCATTTGTGTCTCAAGAAAAGCGTATTTTCTTCACTTCGAGTGGGTCCTCAAGACATTTAAGGGTCGGAGAATGTAGAACGGATGTCGAAAGATCCCTGAGGATGAGGGTGGGTAGAACGGACGGTGCAAGCTCCCTGAGGGTGAGGGTGAGTAGAACGGACGGTGCAAGCTCCCTCAGGGTGAGGGTGGAAAGAACGGATGGTACAAGTTCCCTGAGGGTGAGGGTGAGTAGAACGGAGGGTACAAGCTCCCTGTGGTTGACGGTGGGAAGAACGGATGGTACAAGTTCCCTGAGGGTGAGGGTGGGAAGAACGGACGATGCAAGCTCCCTGGGGTTGAGGGTGGGAAGAACGGACGGTACAAGCTCCCTGAGGGTGAGGGTGAGTAGAACGGACGGTACAAGCTCCCTGAGGGTGAGGGTGGGAAGAACAGACGGTGCAAGCTCCCTGAGGGTGAGGGTGAGTAGAACTGACGGTGCAAGCTCCCTGAGGGTGAGGGTGATTAAAAGGACGGTACAAACTCCCTGAGGGTGAGGGTGAGTAGAACGGACGGTGCAAGCTCCCTGAGGGTGAGGGTGAGTAGAACGGACGGTACAAGCTCCCTGAGGGTGAGGGTGAGTAGAACGGACGGTGCAAGCTCCCTGAGGGTGAGGGTGAGTAGAACGGACGGTGCAAGCTCCCTGAGGGTGAGGGTGATTAAAAGGATGGTACAAGCTCCCTGAGGGTGAGGGTGAGTAGAACGGACGGTGCAAGCTCCCTGAGGGTGAGGGTGAGTAGAACGGACGGCACAAGCTCCCTGAGGGTGAGGATGAGTAGAACGGACGGAGCAAGCTCCCTGTGGGAGAGGGTGGTTAGAACGTACGATGCAAGCTCCCTTAGGGTGAGGGTGGGAAGAACGGACGGTGCAAGATCCCTGAGGGTGAGGGTGGTTAGAACATACGATGCAAGTTCCCTCAGGGTGAGGGTGAGTAGAACGGACGGTACAAGCTCCCTGAGGGTGAGGGTGGTTAGAACGTACGATGCAAGATCCCCTAAGGTGAGGGTGGGTAGAACTGACGGTGCGAGGTCCCTGAGGATGAGGGTGAGTAGAACGGACGGGGCAAGGTCGCTGAGGGTGAGGGTGATTAAAAGGATGGTACAAGCTCCCTGAGGGTGAGGGTGAGTAGAACGGACGGTGCAAGCTCCCTGAGGGTGAGGGTGAGTAGAACGGACGGCACAAGCTCCCTGAGGGTGAGGATGAGTAGAACGGACGGAGCAAGCTTCCTGTGGGTGAGGGTGGTTAGAACGTACGATGCAAGCTCCCTTAGGGTGAGGGTGGGAAGAACGGACGGTGCAAGATTCCTGAGGGTGAGGGTGGTTAGAACATACGATGCAAGTTCCCTCAGGGTGAGGGTGAGTAGAACGGACGGTACAAGCCCCCTGAGGGTGAGGGTGGTTAGAACGTACGATGCAAGATCCCTTAAGGTGAGGGTGGGTAGAACTGACGGTGCGAGGTCCCTGAGGATGAGGGTGAGTAGAACGGACGGGGCAAGGTCGCTGACGTCAGGTGGGATTGGCGGTTTGCAGTGTGACTGAACACAGCCAGTAGTCAGCCACCTCTACATCGGCTGTTGTACGAGAAAAGGCCGGATACAAAAATTATATATGTAATTTTTCAAATTATAAAATACCTACTTAAACAGACATTGTGTATCATGTATTTAAATTATGTCAAATATTTTAACTCTCCATATGTAAAACATACACCTGAAACAATAACAGCCACGAACATAACACGCGTGCTGCAGAGTGTGATTGCGTTCGCAAAGTCGATTTTGGCCAGTCTAGTAAGCTACAAAGATATATAATTAATTATATCTTACAGTTACTACAGTTATTACTGTTGGGGGGCACGGGTGGCCCATTGGTCTAAGGCGCCGCGATTCGCTGTGCAGAGTTGCGTCCCTTGGGCACGCCAGAAACCTATGATTGTGGGTTCGAATCCCAGTTCGCCCCGATTATGTTTCTAGGTTTGTCAGCACCATACCTGTGCTCGTGGGTTTCACCGAAATGATAAACGTCTGAGACCTGCATCTCTTCGGGCTTTCCTCCCACATCAAGCTGACACGCCGCGATATAACTGGAATACTGTTAAAAGCGGTGTTAAACCCAACTCACTCACTCACTATTACTGTTGTGGTTTGTTATACTGCAGACGAAACGATTTCGTTCATTTCAACAAAGAATGACAATGTTAGCACTCTTCCTTGTTACGAAAATCCATCAGAATATGCCAGTATTTGTCTTGTATCAGCGGGCGGTCGTATGCATACTTATTTTTGTAAAGAACATATTGACCTTCTATGCAAGACTTTTGTACTGCAGATCTTGTTTTGAACCATTATGGTTTCTTTTATTGAATTTGTTTGAAAT